CATTAAGACTACGTAAGTGTCAAGCAGGTATTGGAGTAAAACAGGTATTTTACAGGTATTGGAGTAAAACTTAATACAGTGGGAAGAATCATAAGGGAAAAAAGAATCATTTAAATATAATATGTGGAAAGTTTCTTGAGGCCATAAATGATTGTCATTTATCATGCTTTTTACTGTTGCCAGGCAGGGTAACACATGCTTTATATTTATCATTTCATTTAAGTTTTTTGCCACTGTTATGATGTCATTCTTACTCTCATTTTACAGATGAGGAAAGGGGCTTAGAGAATCAGGGCTTTAAGTGCAGATGTTGTAAGCCCCATAGACGTATTATCCTGCCCTCATGGAGCTTAAATCATAGGGGGAGGGAAACAGACTCAAATCAAATAATCACACAGATAAATATAACATTCACAACCTGTGATAAGTGCTATGATAGATCCGTTATGATACAGGAGACTAACAGGAACTTGCCTTGGATGGGAAACAGAGAACCTGCCCTGGGGAGTGAGTGATCTTTGAGTCGAGATCTGAAGCATGAGTAGTAGTTCACAGTGCAAGTGGGGGTTGGAAGGTGGGCAGGTAGAGAGCATTCCTTTGGGAAAATAGTCAAGGAGAAGGTGGGGTGACAGATGTGTCCACTGTCTAACCAGTAAGGATAGACATCCACTCTTTTTACTCAAGTAAGAGGCAATGAACAGAAGTTTGAAAATAATCTCAGCAAAACAAATCCCATACAAAAAGATCAGAGATGTGGGACTCTGAGAGAATGTTCATTGAGATGGGAAGAAAAGAGGTAGGTTATTAGGAGCCAGTTTGAATACTCTAGAAAAAGGACTAATCATGATAGTAACAGTGAGAGTAGAAGACAGGAAAGGCAGGGGATAAATCATTTTTGGAGGAAGAAGAATGTAAGTGAAAATGCTGACCCTTGACTGCCTTGCTGTGAGTGGGATTGTAATGCAAAATTTCTAGTTAGTGGGATGGAGAGCTCACACAGACGAGGGTCTGATCCCTGGATCTGTGACTTTACTAGTTGAGTGACTTTAGATAAGGTAGTGAATTATCTTTTCTTCAGTTTCTTCACTGGTAAAATAATGGTAATAATTAATAATAACAACTTCATGCTATTTTCTGAGGATTAAGAGGGCCAATATTTGTAAGTTACCTAGTACAATGTCTGGAAAACAGCATATATTCAATAAATCTAGCTATATTAATAATTATAATAATAGTTTGCTGCTGTAAAGAAATTTAAAAATTTTGCTTTGGTAGGGGAAAGCACAGAAGAATAAAGAGGGAGAGATGGTGCTTTTCTCAAACATTTTAAGGACCTCCTTTTTGTTCTTAGGGTCTCTCCTCTAAATCTACTGCCCACAAACCCCAAACTGTCAAGTCCTTGAGAACAGGGACACTACCATTCATTTCCTGCCACTTAAGGCAGCGCCTGGCTCCAAAGTGATGTTTCTTGCATAGTGATGATATTTGAAGCTGTAGGAGGGCATGAAATTGCCAAATTAAGGAATGAAGAGCCTGGTCGTGGGAAACACCTGTATTTATTTACAGTGGAGAGAGAGTGAGCAGTTGCTGCCAGAAAAACTAGGATAGTCAGTCTCTCCTGCCCAGGAATGAAGGAGAGTTGCATCAGAGTCTGGGACAAGGAGGCTAGGAAAAAGGACCAGATGTGATGAGAACATTCCTTGTCAGAGAGAACACTTTCAGGAGTGTGTGGGGCAGAGTCCAGATTGCAGAATTAAGATGTAGGTGGTGGTGAGGGAAGTGGAAGCATTGGTTGCTGGGTGCATGGATTTCTCCTTCAAGAAATCCATGGTAAAGGTAAGCAGAAGAAATAATTACTTTTAATAATTTGCAGGCTTAAGAAAATGTATTGTTGTTATTGTGGGGGAGTTGAGGAAATGCTGACCATGTAAGAATTGAGGAAAGAATTACAGAGCACCCTTGATGGGTCATGGTCCTGGAGGTCTGCCTCATCCAGACCTGACTGAATACTGATCCCTGCATTTATGGGTAGGGACAATCTGACTGAATTGTCTCCTCTTTCCTTCATCTCTGTATTTTCAAACTTATAGTTCAGATAATGAATGCAACACATACAGCTTGGCCTTGTTTAGAATGCCCAGAAGAGAGTTAGAGGCGTTCAGACATTAGCTGAATGAAGGAAGTGATGTGCTCACAAGAATGAAAGCTTGTTCATTTCTGCTCTTCCTGAATGTCTCCTTATAACATGTACATTTTTGAGGCTTAACTGGCTTTGATAGTTTTATGATAATTTATGTTTTTTAAGTGTGGGTGAGTTGGCAAGTGATCACATTGGTTTTGTTTTGTTGTGAATAAATAGTATGTCAAAGTTTTATGCCGTTTCAAAAATGTTATTTAGAATAAAACTTCCTTTGAAGCCACAATAGTCTCTTACTCAAAATATTTATTTAGACCATATTGTTTAAATATGTGTAATTCCCTTAAGGGACAATTGTAGTCTATATAAATCTGAATTTAAAACAAATAGACCTTCTGGAATTCATAGAAATACAAAATGGATATTCCAGTGCTTAAGTATTTATATACAAAAGGAGTTGAGGTGTTCCAATGTTTGTATGTTTAGGTACAAAAAGAGTAGAATTTATAAAAAAGGATGATGATCTGAAAAGTTTAACTCCCAAATGTACCAGATGTATAAAGTTATTTAGCAAGACAGAATATTTGAATCATAAGCTAGTTCAGAGTAAGCGAATGAAAGATTCAATCAGTTGAAAAATAAATGTACATAAAAATAAATTGACACTCTTAATTTGCTCTAACTTCGAATATAACTATGATTAAAGTTTATGGAAGTGTGCTTTAAACACAATATAAAATCAGTATATTTTTGTAAAATAATTAAATATTATCAAATTAGTGATTTAAAGTATTTATGTATTTTATGTTGGAGTTTATATGTAGCTGTCCTTGAAAGATCATCTTTTTCATTGGCCCTCCTTTGATTTTTGTAATGCTGAAGGTGTTTTTAAGGATTTATGAAAGCTTCTATTACTGTACTTCAAAATAATTGTACTATAAATGCTTTAATGTCAACATAGCTCCCATATTTGAATTTATAATTAGTTTGTCAAGTGCCTTATTTTAAGTGGAAATACTGTTTTCTGAACTCTTTTTATTTTGGTCATAGTACAATCAAGTTGTGAGTTCATTAACTAATGAACATGTTACTTAAAGAAACTGTTTCTAATCTGGGATGTTCTGATATGTTTCTCAATTAGTAAACTATTGAAATTGAAATAAGAACTTTTGGGAGAACTATTTCCCTTTATAATCTAGAAATTCCTTTAATCACCAATACATATAGCAAACTTTCACAAGCTAGCTAATGTGCAATTGGACTGTTGACATTGGAAGAGAGACCCTGAAATATCAGGCAGATTATACAATTGAATACTTCCCTAGAAGAAAACAGAAGAGCAAATTAGGGATGAGAGTGGAATATGAGTGGAGTCTAGAGTGAGGACTCTAACATCTGACACTGAATAGGGATCGATATATTTAATGTTAATTAATGAAAGAGAAATACTTTACACTTGTCTTATCCAGAGCACTGGGAACAGTAAAAGCCCATACAGGCTTATTCTCGGTAAAGAATAAGAATTTGTCCCAACCATATTAACGATATCTAAAATGCTTTAACAGGCAATATTTGCTTAAGTAAAAAATACAAAATAAAATAAAGTGAAAACAATATCTAAAATATTGCCTGTTACAAATGGGACAGTTTATATAAAAGTCCAAATGGTTCCAGAAATATGAGCATCTAGAGCTGTGTGAGCACATCTTTCAGGCACAGAGTTTCAGATATTCTCATGCCCACCACCCCAAAATCAGCAATCTTTGATTGCATCTAAATCTGCAAAGGGATCTTTTTCTGGCAGTTCAGGTAGTTACAATAGATTGTTAATCTATGAATGATCAAACTAAATCCATTCTGCCTTCACAATTTCCATGCAAATTAGAATTAAATGTATGGGATAAATTTATTGACTTTATCTCATACATTTAAGGAGCATAGGTTAGCGTTAGCACAATTGTTAAATATAGATTATTATTCATAAAAAGTTATACTCCATTTATGCTAATTTTCTGTGGATTCACTTTATAAGATAAACTGATGAGATGGTTTTTAAAAGTACTTGTAAGGAAATGAGAGATTTTTTATTGTTTAGGTTTTCTATGATACAGTTGTACTGTTCCATATATAATATGTTCACATAAATGGCTTTTCCTGTTCTGTATCTGACCTAACAACAAAATTTAAACTTTCTTATATCATCATTAAAATAAAATAGGATCATTTTGTATTTTTCAAAACAAGAATGAAAATAGAATTAATAAATCAAAAAAAAAATGCCAAGGGAATTCAGATGTGGTAAACAATAACAAAATATGTTAGGTTTTATTGGGCCAACAAAAATGTCTTTTTAAAATATATCTGAAAGATTATCAAAGCATTTAATTGAAATTCAGTAGAAGAAAGTAATATTCTAATAATAATATTGCCATGTTTTGCAAACATTTCACTTGAATATTGATTTGTTAGAATGTATTTTTTGCATTAATTGACAAGTAAATAAAGTTAAGCAGAAATACAGATTAGCAGGAATTTTTTTTTCCTCTTTGGATCTCTGGTGTTATAAAGCCAGTTTCTTACGGAGTATGTGATCCTTTATTCTTATTCTACTTGGTCTGTGTTTCTAATTTATAGGTTATTATGAATGATGTAAAATGTATTAGTGAATGAGCTTTTTTTCTTTTTCTTTTTTTTTGGGGGGGAAGAGATTTTGATGATATCAAAACTTATTTTTAAAACTCTCCAGGCCTCTATCATCAACATAAAGCCTTTAACATGGAAATGGGCATTGCTTATTAAAATGTTGAAAAAATAGAGTATCTTTGAACAGATGCTGATCTTTTTTTCCTCCTTTATTTTTCAGGCCATCCGCTGCACACTGGTAAACTGCACGTGTGAATGTTTTCAGCCAGGGAAGATTAACCTGAGGACTTGTGATCAGTGTAAACATGGCTGGGTGGCACATGGTGAGGAAAATCAGAGCTTTTCTTCCCATTCTTGTTATGTACATGTGAGAATGAGTGTGTGTTTGCGTGTGTGTGTGTGTGTGTATGTGTGTGTGTGTGTGTTTCTTAGAGCAGGCACTGGGCTGGAGAGGTTAGCTGTGTTCAAGTGATAGTTAACATTCAGCCCATGGCTCTTAAACAGCATATTCTCAGCTCTAAAATGTAAGGCTAGGCAGGCCACTGTCCACAGAAGGGCAAAATGCTTATGGGACAGTTAGGCCGTGAGGTTCTTACTGAGCATAGGAGCAGCCAGCAAGCACCAGGCCTGATGGAAACTCAGACATACCACAGTTGACCTTTCAGGGCCTGGACCTCAGAGGGAAGCTGACAACCTCTCATTTCTGGAGAACTCCTCAGTGACTGTTCACCCTTGTCACATGTGTGAGGGGCTGAGTTTATCCTTCCAGATGTTAAATTTTGTATGATCTAAGGTGGGCAAGAGAGTGAATGGGAACATTATTTGGCTGGTATCTGAAATAAATCTGTAAATACTCCCTTTCAATGTACGTTGCGATTGGAGGTGGTCGATGTGGGTAGAGTGTGAACTCTGTGTAGGGGTGCACTGGGGGTGGGGGTGACCCAGAGCGAGGGATATGAGCGTTGAAGCTTTTTGCCAGGTGCACAGAGCTGTTCTGTCTATATGCCTTGACTGAGAATTTAGCATATTCTTGCGTATGGTTTACATTTATTGTGTTTAAGCAAAAGGAGACTTGGAAATAAGCAGATTTTTTTTTTTTTAAACTTCTAGGCTACAGAATTTTAAAAGATAGGTAATGTTTATAAAAGAAATCCTGGCTTGAGATTTTTTTGACAGCCTGGGGTATTGGCTCTTAAGTGGACATATTCTTCATTCCCAAGCAGTGCCAAACATCCAGTGGGTTGTATTTTTATAAATGTCATGTTATTCTAACAAGATCTGAGGTAACATCACTGGGCCATGCCTTGAAATGCTTTTAATTTATCATGTACCTTGCTTGTTAGGACGTGTGTGTTTGAGTTGCAGGGACATTTCAGCCATATTTCTGTGAGAGAGAGAGAGTAGTATGAGAAGAATACATCGGAAGGAGTGTGTTCCTACCATGTAGCCACAATCCTGTAATCCTTCGGTGCCGCAGGGGTGGAACTCTTTCCTGCCTCATTAACAACAAGGCCAAAATCTGTAACACTTTTGAGTCTAGTCTTGAACAACAGATGAGCTACTGTTACCTTCCCAGTGGATGTATTTCTTCTCTCTTCCTATATTAGCTTGCTATTACTATATTGCCATAATAAAATACCACAGGCTGGTGGCTTAAACAACAGAAATTTATATCCTCACAGTTCTGGAGGCTAGAATTCCAAGGTCAAGGTGTTAGCAGCATTGGCTTCCTTCAGAGGTTTCTATTCCAGTTTGAGATGGCCACCCTCACATGGTCTTTTCCTCTTTGGGCACATGCTGTTGGTGTTTCTTTGTGCATCCAAATTCTCTTCTAAGAACACTAGTCAAATTGGATTAGGTCAACCCTAAAGGATCTCATTTTAACTTAATCATCTTTTTAAAAGTCCTTTCTCCAAATATAGTCACATTCTGAGATAATAGGGGTTATGGCTTCAACATATGAATTTTAGGGGAACACAATTCAGCCCATTAACACTTCCAAACATCCTTCTTTCCCGGAAGAAGTACTGATTCTGCTGGGTAATAGGTACGGAGCTCATGTCCCTAGCTAGTCAAGAATCATGAGGTCACTGGTGGCAGTATCTGTATAGACTATTCTGAGGTCTAATCCTGGCCTTACCACTTCCATGTCAATATCCCTGGACATCAGTTTTCTTATCTGTAAAATAGGATTAACAATACCTACTTTACAGTCTTATTGTGAAAATTAAAGATAAAGTATGTAAAGCCTTTAATAAATGATACATGTTAAAAATAAACTGAATGATAGATAAGCAGTAAAGGGGGGGGGTCAGTCATTAAACAAAGGGCTTTTCATTTACTCTCATTTTATTCCAAAACCATCTTGTATTACTATCATCTGCTTTAGTAGCCTTATGCATATAGAAATACACTTTGTCACTAGAGTTTGTTTTATCTATCTAACTTCCATGTGCATATTACATTAGTAGTATAATGAAAAAAAAAGCAATATTTCTTCCTTCCTGAATGACATAAATTATTCCTGGCCAATGATTATTTTGAAGACTTTCTGAAGAATGTGATTTTTCACCCAACTTGAATAAGATATTTCTGTTATAATAGCTTGTGTTTTTCCTATGTACCATTACAAATGTTATGCTTCTGGGATATTAATTTTGGGGATTCTCAAATCTAAGCCAAATTAATTCTATTTTCCCTCAAAATTATCACCTTGACCTCTCTTCTCTCCCACAACAGGGATGTATCTGTGTACAACTCAAAATACATACATGCGGATATGCAAATTCCTGTTCATTAGGGCAAGTATGACAGTGAGGGGATGGCTTCTAGCCTTTGAATTGGCAGTGGAATGAGAGCACCCACTCTTTTTGCCCCTAGCATTTCGATTAATTGCTTCATTCCCTCCCCCTGCACAAAAACCCTGAAATCATGTATCCAATTATTTCTGCTCAGAGGTGAAACACAGCAGCTTTCTGGTTGCCTTACACAGTATAGTGTCCTATGTGTGGGGCGAGGAGGAAGTTACTTGGTTTTTCTTGTGTGTAATTTTTTTGCAGAAGTACATGGAACAGCAGTAAGATTACTGGGATACATTTAATAGAATTGTTTCATGAAAGCACTGAACATACTCTGCCTGTTATCATGCTATTAGAACTTTAATATCTGCTGCTAAAAAATAACCACATGCCAAAAACAGGTATTCTCTGTAAAATGAAGAATTTTTATGCCAGAAGCAATAGCTCATGCCTGTAGCCCCAGCACTTTGGAAGGCCAAGGTGGGAAAGTCACCTGAGGCCAGAAGTTTGAGACCAGCCTGAGCAATATAGCAAGACCCTATTTCTAGCAAAAAAAAAAAAAAAAAAAAAAAAAAAAATTAAAATATCTCCAGGCATGGTGGTATATGCCAGTAGTTCTAGCTACTCCAGAGGCTTAGACAGAAGGATCTTGAGCCCAGGGAGTTCAAGATTGCAATGAGCTGTGATCAAATCACTGTATTCTAGCCCGAGTGACAAAGCGAGACCCTGTCTCTTTAAAAAAAAGAAAAAGAAATTTTTAGAAATTTGTTGGCCTCTTTTGAATAAACATCTTCCTTTATCTGCTTTGTTAGCAGCATTTTCAATTTATTCCTAAAATGTTGGATTTTCTGGGTCATTATTACCATATATATGCATAGACATACATACATACATGTATGCATAGACATGCATACACATACACACACATACTTCATTGCTTTATGGATTGTTTCTAAAGCCTGCTTAAGTTGTTGACATTAGCTGCCTTAGAAAAACCTTAAGAAAGATGTTTTAAAAATGTAAAGAGAATGATTAATTCATTATATTCAAACACCTGGGTTTTGAAATTACTTAGTGGGCTGTGTTACTGTTATCAAATTAGTTCCTTGAAATCTTTAGCACTAGTGAGTTAAGGGGAGAGGGAATGACCCAAAACAGTACTTTGAATACCAGTAGGTATTTCCCATTGAATTAATAAAGGATTAATTTCATTGCTTTCACTGAAGTTTGATTTCATGTTAATAATAGAAAGCAGAGCTTACTGAATTTAATTTTATTTAAAATAAACTTTTTTGTATGTATGATGGCCATACCTAGTCTATAATAACTAGTTGGTAGACTAGAAATAACTCAGAATTTTTAATTTTGCCGTGTTCCTCTTCTAAGTTCTAAGGACTCTAGCCTATTGCCACTTAATTTACTTAACTTCTGTTTCTTTTCTCATGTTTGCATTGTCTTCTCTGTGTTTTTCTTTCATTCACCTGAAATGATCTTAATACATTGAAAAATAACAACAATAAAAATTTCCCACATGTTCAATTCTCTTTTGTTCAAAGGTGCCAAGATAAGATATCAGAATAAGAGCAGTAATGGGCTCTTTATTCATGATGTAAAATTTTTTTTTTGTTCTTTTGTAAAAATTAAGTTAGCTGTGTTTTGATGCTTTCTCCCAATACTAGAGTAGTAATTGGGCCATCCATAGAATTTAAGCTTTGGCCAAAGATTTTACATAGTCTTAAAAATTAGCCAGTATTATTTCCGAGTGTTGGGTGAGTGCTACTCAAATACTTCTGCCTTGAAGAATCTCTGCTATAATGAGAGGTGTTACCAGTAGGGAGCTTTTGTTGCCCTTGTGAAAAACTGGAGGCATGATGTAAAGGTTGAGAACTACTATACTAAACCATTTTTATTATTTAATATTTGCAAATTAATTTTAATATTCATAGTCCAGATGAAAACTTTATTTCTAAACTATTAAAATGAAGGTACATAAATATGAAAAATAAAAAATAAACTTGGTCAGTCAGAGTGGTTCATGCCTATAATCCAAGCATTTGGGGAGGCTAAGGCAGGAGGATTGCTTGAGACTAGGAGTTTGAGACCAGCCTGGACAACATAACCAGACCCTGTCTGTACAAAAAATATAAAAATTAGCTGGGTGTGGTGTTGGAGGCTGAGATGGGAGGATCACTTGAGCCTGGGAGTTCAAGGTTGCAGTGAGTTGTGATAGCACCACTCCACTTCAGCCTGGGCAACAGAGGCTGTTTCCCTGTCTCAGGAAAAAGATAAAGGAAGAAAGAAGAAAGTAACCTAAATTATAAATGGTTTTAAGAAATATTTCATGATCCAAGACAATTGGAAAATTGTGTTTTTTTTCCATGATGGTCTATATTTGATTAGTATATTTGATAGAAGTGGGCAGATTTTAGAAAGGTAATTTATTTATAATATTTTTTCCTTTACTATTTTAGTAATTTTTATTTCTGATGAAGCCCATTTGTTAAAACTATCCCTTTTATTGACAA